GGCCTCAGAAGACAGAACTGCAGATTTAGAAGATGCAGTTTTAAGAGTCATTCTGCAGTCACAAAAGTGCAGCTAGTGAAGTATGAGCCCAAGGAAGCCTTCAGAGGTCCTGGATTAGCCTTACCTTCCTCTTGTTTGTTGGCAGGTTTGGCATAAATGGCATTAAGCGGAAAGCCAGGCTCCCCGGGGATTGGGAAGTTAGTGATTCCTAGTGTGTACATTTCCTTCTCTCCTTGGCCTTTGGAGTTACACTGGAAGAACCAAACAAACAGTGGATTAATGGTTATAACCAAAAGCTGATGAATGTTTTACCAATCTCTAACACATCAAGACTCATCAAAAATAACAACACAACATCTCTTTGGAGATCCATAGCCTTGAAGTATCTGTGGCTCTGACAGCTGCGACTGGGGTTAACCAGGATTATTTATGCCACTGGAAGGAGAACGTCAGCAAACTCCTTCCCGAGTACAATCCCCAGAACAGGCTCTGTTTCCCTCCTCCTTACCTTTTGCAGCTTTTTCAAGCACTCAGAAATGTAGAGGGTTATGTAGATCAGCGTTCTGTCAGCCTCGTTCTGCAAAACAAGAGCAAGCACAGAGCCCAGCCACTCTGAGGTTAAGGGAGACTTTATGGAACTGAAAAAAGTTTGAAACAATAACGAGTTCAAGCCATTTTGGCCTTCAATTTCCCCGTGAGAGAGGGACTTGCAATTCATGACATTTACCCAACCTTAAAAATTAAGTGGGAGGAAGGGGAGTTTCTGTTATCTAGTAGAATTATTTCATTGAAAATAAATTTATATTCACAGCACCAACCCTCCAAAAAACTACAATATGCACAGCATCTCAAAAAATTACCTTAATTTCATAATTTTTGAAGAAAACATTAGCTTTGAAGTAGTAGATGGCTTCATCTATAATATCTGTGTCCTTAGCTGGCAAAAAAAAAATACAGAGTTAAACAGTGCACCATTATACTATATTTGGCCATAACTTTTACTTACTGAAATACACAAATAAAGATTATTGCAAAGGCAAAACCTTGGTATTTACAAAAAGCAGAAGATGACACTATGCAACAGAAAACACCTGTTGTCCTGTGAAACACTGGTGAGCTCAGACCATAATATTTGAGGTTCCTGCTCTTACCAGGAGCTTTAACTCCCTTCTTCTCCTCCCCACATGGTTTCTCACTTCACAAACGGCAGCAATTCAGCAGTTCCCCAATTTTCTACCAGCTGAGTAACTCACCAGAATTTTAACAGCGTAAAAGTCTTCTCACGACACAAAAATGTTTTTGGAGAAAGCATAACACCACAGTCTCACAAATTCCGTTATCCTCCTCAAAAAATGATAAAGAGCAGGACACATAGTGGCAAGCTTACTTGTGACTTTCACCTGCTTTTGCTACTATCCAAGACTGCTTAAATCCAGAAAGATCTCCTTTCTATTTCCTTTCTGAACTGCCACACTGTTGGGGGGCATCACGCCTGGAAGTGACACTTCATGTGCTGAAGGTGAATCCATCCCAGGCTGCCTGTGGACTCTGTTAGGATGCCTGCAACTTCGTTTCAATTTCTGAAGCCCCCTACCCTAAAATGCTGCCTGTGCTACTCCTCGTCCTCCAGAGCAGCCGAGTGTCTTCAGCCACAGCCCCAAAGCGCAAGTTCTCTATAGCGAAACCTCCACTTCCTCTGACAGCAGAGGGTTCACACCACCACGTCCTCCTCAAAACCCACTGAAGAGCACAGTGAGACACAGGAGGAAGCGAGAGAATAGCAACTGTAGGCTTTAATTACTCAAACAACTGATTTCAGCGTGGCGTACATTTGTCCGTGCATCATTATTTTCTACGATTTGCACAACTTAGATATTTGAAAACTTTTTTTCCTCCTCTATAAATTGCAAAGCACTCCATTTCCAACCTGTGGCCCCTCTCTTGGTAGGGCTGGCTTGGAGCAAACCCCTGGATGGTGACAAGCTGTAGGCAGGCAGGTTTTCAGAGGTTGTTAGAAACTTACTTTCCCGAGGCGCTGGGCCTTTGAACTGGCTTCTGATGGGTAACAGCGCCATGTTCCCAATTAGCTTGGTGTCAGAGTCCATTAAAGTTGAGTGGTAAGCCTACGGACAGGGGGGAAGGCTGGTTATTAATGCTACTGAAAACAGACATTTCCGTGTCTGATCACGGGTCTTCATCAAACAGGAGCCAGAGTCTGGCTCATTAGTGATGCTTCCCACAATGTTTCCTTGCACAAACAATTGCTATTTTCTAATTAGGCCCAGATCTCAGCGCCATTCTGGTGAAGACCATGAAGGTATCATCGCTGGCACCACTTATGGAGACATAAGGTAAAATCGGGGGTAAAATCGGTCCGGCTGGTCGCTGCAGCCCCAAGCTGCTGTCGTGGTTTGGGCTGGATGGTTTGGGGCTGTTTTTTTGGCCACCGAGACAAATGACAGATGCTGTCCCCCACCCCTCTCTTGCCAAAGAGAGGAAGGAGAGAGAGAAAGAGACGGCCTAACCCCATTCTGGACAGTGCCGGGGGGAACCGCCCCGCTATCCCACCTCGGTACGGGGCACTGCATAGTTCATGGAAAGTTAGCTGGTCACTGAAAAAAGATTATGTTCTATTTCCATGTCTAGCTAATAATACTAGGTAATAATACTAAATAAAGCCAGGCCTAACACATACCCGCACTTGGTCACTGAAAAAAGATTATGTTTTATGTCCAGGTCTAGCTAATAATACTAGATAATAAAAAATAAAGCCAGGCCTAACACATACCCGCACAACTCAAAAAAAGACCTTTTTGTGCACTCTTAAAAATGGTCTAAAAATTAAAATCTTTCTGCATTTGAAAGATTCTTCCTGGGAAACTGATTTTCAGCCACAGTTTAGGTTTAGACATTCGGGCCCTGCTGTGCCAGGCCGCTTGGGAAGCCTTCACCTCCTCCCAGCCCAGGTTTCCTGGGGGGAGAGGGGGACGCGATGGCAAGGGGTGAGCATCCCCTAGCAGAAAAGCGGTTTATTTCAACCAGAGGAAGGTGGGGTGAACAAAACCAGAGCTAAAGCACAGCTTTGAGCAGCCTCTCCCTCCCCGGAGCCGGGGGCAGGAGGAAGAGGAAGAGGAGGGCGCTGGCCTTGCAGCAGCCTCCCATTAGCACCAACTCCCTGCTCTCAGCAGGGTTCCCCGTAGCTGCACCCCCTTTTTTCCCCCAGGAAGGTGCCCTCGGCGGGGGCCGGCACAGCCGCCCTCCCGTCGCCGGCCCGGCCTCTC